GCCTCCTGTTGCATTCTGGGGTTTGTAGTTCAGTGAGACCCAAGAGCTTTGTGATTGAGAATTCTAAATGCCCTTCCCTAAACTGCCAATCGCAGAATGCAACAGGAGGCAGCTAGAACAATTAAAGTGGAATAGCAGAACTATAAAAATGTAGTGTGGTAATCTAGTTTGTAGCCAATCAGTGACTGGGGATGAAACTGAACCTGGGAGCTTCTAACTACTTTTACATACCCGGAGAGGAAGAGAAGTCTTTTGTCTTTGGATTACTGCCATTAGGTACAGAGACAGAGAGTTGCATTCCACCTGTGCAACTGTTGGGTCTTGGCCAGAATGTCCTCCTGCCAACATCTCTTTGGTGCCAAGATCAATATATTTTCAATGCCAGACAAAGATGTTATGGGCCAGACCTTCATAAATGTTTTATAGCTGGTTTGAGTACTGTTTTATAGCTCTGTTGCATTTTGTGATTTTCTGCTGTGGCTTTTGCCATTCTCTTTGGTTTTCTTTTTATTATTTTGACGAGAGGGGATTATCAGAAAACAATACATTTAGAACAAAATAACATAATCAACATAATATGCAAAATATTCTGTAAACCATAGCATCTGCTTATATAGTCATTTACAGTTAATAGCAGTTGCTTATCCTCAGTTTGTTGGGTGGCTCCCCCCCCCTTTACTATGGTTGTTCACTAGATAACATCCAATTTCATGTCTACCTTTTGAGGACTATATAACAAATGCTGCAAAGGGCAGGAGATCAAATTGACAAGGTCAGTCTTGCCAGATTTCTCCCTTGCTCTTTGCAGCCTTTTTGAACAATTCTTGTAGCTTAAGCAAGATGTCACACATTATCTAGCCCTTGAGGCAGGAAGATAAAGCTGACTTTCCACTTATTTCCCAGGCATCTAGCAGATGGTCTTTGAGTATGGGTATGCTGTATATCAAGAATACCTTGCTTTGTAGAGGCTTCCCTGGACTCTTTTGCAGAGGCAAGGAGAAGGCCTTGTCAATTTCATGATCTCCTGGCAGACTTGTATACTTCCTACATCCTATTGCTGTTTTCTCCCTCACACACTAATGTCCTAAAGTTTTCACATTCAGACCATCAGTTCCTAAGAAAATCACAGAATATAAAAGATACATGGAATGAAGAATCATATGAAGAATCATATGAATCAAATCACAGAATCATAGAACAACACAACAGAAA